CGCTTTTTCCTAATGAAAAATGTGAACCAAACCTTACCAATTTGATGTTTAAAGTGCGACGATGCCACACATTTTCGATCTGGTGAGCTTCGAAGGTCATGTAAATTTTCGATCTGGCGAGATTCGATCTATTGAGTTTCGATGCAACGAGCTGTTCCCTGGTATCATACCAATGGTATGGCACAATGCAGTGTACCTGCATAACCAAAATGACAGCTATTCGTCATAACCTTGAGGAATACTTTGCTACATTTAGCCTCTATAGAGGCTAAATGTAGCAACTATAGTTGAAAATGAGGTTAAAATATGCGACGGTTGAGCACACACATTTCTACGTCCGTCCGACGGTCGGGGAGACACCAGTGTTGCCAATGGTGTTGACATAATTTACACACAGATTCTGTCAAAATTCCACAATTTTGCCAACTATTCCACACATTTGGGATTTTGGTTTTGTTAGGTTTCTTTGGTGATTACCGCAGAAAGAGTTTCTGAGGTGAATCACCACAAACACTCTTTCTGTGGTAATTACTGGTGATTACTTAAAGACGTTTTCAAAAACTTACTAGATTACTTACTTTGTCAAAAAGTCTATTGTTATAAACGGTTTTAAGTTACTCGATAACTTACGCTTGCAAGTTTACAAAAATACCAGATTTTTTTAATTTGCTGTATATACAGTGCTTGCAAATGCAAGTCCGACCGCACTGGAAAGGACGGCTGTTCAATACCCGCGTGAAAAGAACAAGGATAGAACGCCAAATAGAATTTGATTGGCCAGAGCCCCGGATGCGTGCGAATTGTAAGCGAGGTCAACTCTGGGCCAGAGTCTCTGGCTGCATTTAGACTAAATGATTTAGTGTTAAGCAAACTGCGTTGGAGTGGAGATGCACATTTTAATTTTCTTTTTAAATATTTTATACCCGAATCCTAAAAATAAAATGTTTTGATTTTTTTCCTTGAGAACTAGGGCAACAACAAAAATAGTATTCTTAATAAAAAAGATTTCTCAAATAAAAATAACTATAAATAAAAATAAAACTCTAAATAAAAATATAGACCAGTGCAGAAGCCTTTAAAAATGGTAAAAAGAGAAAAAAAATAACAGTAGGATGAAACCCATTGGAAAAGGAGGGGAATATAATAAAAATTAAAGGAAAAATAAATTACGGGCGATCTGAGTTCGGGAAGTGAGAGGGGGGGGGGGTTTAAGGGTAAAAAATGGTTTATCTCGATTTCCGGCAAAACTACAAGTCCTATGGAAAAAAGTTAAATGTCAAAGTTGTAGGTAATAAAAAGATCTACAACTTCTGTATTTACAATTTTTTCACATAACCTCAAAATTTATGTGAAAAATCAAAAAACCAAGTTTTTGGTTTTTTATTTTTATCTTTTTCAAAAAAAAATTTTTTTCCATGAAATTTGGTGAAAACTTACCTTTTTATGTCCCAAATACACTGTAATTTATTTGATTTGAAATATTTATTATTTCGCCTTATTTTGACTTAATATCAAAAAAGCACCCTAATTTTCAATCGAAAATTCTCGCGTGAAAATATCAGCTTTTTTCAAAAAGTCGTTGTGCTTTTTGTTCGATGAACTCTCTACTTTCTGATGGTGTAAAAAAATATACATTACTATGGTAAATAAATCAGAAAATACAAAAAATATTATAATGAATAACGTAATCAGAATGAAGTATCTAAATTCAATAGTATGATTTACATGTATTTTTATATTTTATGAGATTTTCTGACATAAATGTTATTAGAATTTAATAAATAAACTTTTTAACTAAAAAAATTGCAACAATCACATTTTTTTGATGAAATTGTACATAATGATTAAAATAAATTTTCGAATTCGAGTTTTTTTTCGTTATTCATTATAATATTTTTTGCATTTTCTGAGAACATTTACCATAGTAATGTATATTTTTTTACACCATCAGAAAGTAGAGATTTCAACAAACAAAAAGCACACCGACTTTTTGAAAAAAGCTGATATTTTGACGCGAGAATTTTCGATTGAAAATTAGGGTGCTTTTTTGATATTAAGTCAAAATAAGGCGAAATAATAAATATTTCAAATCAAATAAATTACAGTGTATTTGGGACATAAAAAGGTAAGTTTTCACCAAATTTCGTGGAAAAAATTTTTTTTTTGAAAAAGATAAAAATAAAAAACCAAAAACTTGGTTTTTTGAATTTTTCCCATAAATTTGGAGGTTATGTAAAAAAATTGTAATTACAAAAGTTGTAGATCCTTTTATTACCTACAACTTTGCCATTTAACTTTTTTCCATAGGACTTGTAGTTTTACCGGAAATCGAGATAAACCATTTTTTACCCTTAAAACCCCCCCTCCCACTTCCCAAAGTCAGATCGCCCGTAATTTATTTTTCCTTTTATTTTTATTATATTCTTCTCCTTTTCCAATGGGTTTCATCCTACTTTTATTTTTTTTGGTTTCAAAAATTATCGACCCTGGTCTAATAAAACTCTAAAAATAAATAAACTGAAAAATTAAATTAAATGTTCGAACAAGCAATTATTAACGATTCGTCGAATTGTTTCTCTGTTTGGTCTGGCCTCGAACATTCCCGCAAATAATCTTTGAATTTCTCGTTCAGAATTACCAGCAAAATGCCAGATTAAAATCTGAACTTTTTGTTCCAACGTGTACCTACATTTTTTAATTAAATAATCTTTTTTACTAAAATTACTACCTCTTGGCAAGAGGCTCTTGCTGGCACCACTGCAGTTCTCGTTCTAATATCCTCGTGTCAAGCACGCTGCGAGGTGCGCGATGGGTATGCGTTGTCGTAGCCTGCCGGCTGGCCAATCAAATTCTATTTGGCGTTCTATCCTTGTTCTTTTCACGCGGGTATTGAACAGCCGTCCTTTCCTGTGTGGTCGGACTTGGATTTGCAAGCACTGTATAGAAATCTGCACAGAAATTCGTCCATATAACTCATATACCTATAACTAGTTATAACCTATATATAGGTATATGATATAACTAAATAACTAAAATGCGCATTTGCAAATGTATCTATTTAAATGCTTGTTATAAGCATTGTTAATTTAAAGATAAAGTTTACACGCAAATTCCACACATTTATGTATTACACACAAATTACACACAACAAAATAAATTCCACACAATGCGTGGATTTCCACGTACATTGGCAACACTGGGAGACACTACCTATTTATTTTTACATAGCCATAAAACCATAAGCCTCGTACAGACTTGAGCATTGAGCCGAACAACAAGCCGAACAACGAACCGAACGGCAAACAGAACACTAATTTGGACGGGGCTGCGAACGCGTTTGCGAACATGTTCGCGAATCCTGACCATTCGGCGAACGGTTCGCCCCGTTCCCATCACTTGTCGGTTTTTCCTTCGACATCAAAGGAAATGCTCGCGAATGCGTTCGGAGGTTTGGACGGGTCAAAACAAAACGGCGAACAGACCAGTGAATTGTTCTCATTTAAGTGTTTATTTGTCTCCTCCTTTAAGGGAGTTTGTTTATTTTAATATAATTAAAATTCAACACAAGTAAATGGAGTGGACAGAAGAAAAATTTCTGGATCTAATTGATATTTATCAAAAAAAAGAGTTGTTGTGGAAACCAAAACACCCACACCATTTTAATAAAATTAAAAAACTAGATGCTTGGGAGGAGATTGCGCAAAATTTATATATAAGCTGCTGCTGCTACACTTTTTTCCATCTTTAGTAAAACTTTAACTGAGATTTACTACGAGCAATTATGGGAACAGCACGAACGTTCCGTTTGTTGTTCGGATCGTCGAAATCAAAAAAGGCCATTTGCCGTTCTGTTTGCCGTTCGGTTCGTTGTTCTGCTTGTTGTTCGGCTCAATGTTCAGGTCTGTACGAAGCTATAGAGTAAGTCTGCATAAAACCTATAAAAAACATGTGATTGAACTGTGATCAGTGTTGCCAGATGTACGATAATTATCGATTTTGTACGATAAATATAACGAATGTACGATCCCTGCCAAAAATGACCCTTTAAGAACAATAGAAACCAATGGGAATTTATTTTGTAATGTATTGGGTCTTATAGGTTTGAATCGGGTGAATTGGTATCAATTGGAAAACATAATTGTCTTGAATTGGTTTGATTGGGTATTTCCCATTTAGCCCCAAAACCATTTGGCGACATATAGAAACCAATAAAAACCAGTACCAATACACATATTCAGTCCGGTACAAACCATTTCATTCTCTTATTGGTTTCTATGGGTCATTTTCGGCAGGGATGTACGATAGCAACTACGCGATAATTGCGTTTTATACGATAATTTACATACAGAACAAACCTTATGCAAATATGTAATGATTTATTTCACACAACTAACAATATTTTTGATTTTGCCTGTTAAGTTTTATTATAAATTAAGTCCAGTAAAAGACTATAGTGGTGAATTTATATTCCCGAATTTGTGCAATTTTGTTTTATGTGTTCTTTCGCTGCCACATTCAAGTGCCACTTGTGAAAGACAATTTTCAAAAGTTAATTTAATAAAAACCAAATCAAGAAATAGAATAATAACAGACATATGTCTTCTCTGCAAGTCCATCTAGAACAAGGCTGTTCTAACTTTAAACCCACCGATAAAATGTTAAGAAACATGACGTCTGCCAAACTCTACCACTCAAAATCACACTGCTATTTCTAGAATTAAACAAAAATGAAAGGCAATCTGATGACGACATCGTTTTTGAAGAAATATGAGCGTTTTTTTTTTCATAGTTTTTATCATTTTATTATAAGAGTAAATTATTGGCTTATTATAAAGCTAATAAATTCCATAATATTTTTTCTGTACCTTTCAAATATAAAAAAATTTCAAAATTATATGAAATATTATCGTTTATGTTTTGTACGATAACGTACGATAATTTTAAGACGATAATTCTCCGTTTGACGTCTGGCAACACTGACTGTGATTGACAATCACAGTGATTTTTTAGGTTATGTACTGGTTGACGTTTGCACTTTCTCTGTGCTATTCAGATTCGCAAAAGAATCAGTTTTAGGATATATAAAATTGTAATTGTTTGTTCTGTGATTGTAATTTGTTTTTAATTAAGTTTAAAAATGCAAGATTCCCTTGAGGATTACATACAATTATCCAAAAACAGTAAACTAGATGCGACTGTTAAAAACAGGTTCATTGTGTTTTTTCACCTTAATAATTAAAGATAATTATAATTATTGTTTTAGCAAAGATATACAACTTACAGCAAAGTTAAAAAACGAATGTGATAAAAGAGCCCTAAAGATTGTTGAGTTTTTGTTGGATGGGAAATTGAGACCAGAAATATTCTTAAGATGTGTAAGTGTATTCTAGTACACTATTTCATGCCTTAATTTTTAAATTTAAGCTTCCTTTTATTAATCAAGAACATTATCAAGATATTGTAGAAGAAAGGGCCATTTTCAAGTTATGTGGGTATTCGATTTGTGGAACAAAAATCCCTGTTATGCCAAAACAACAGTATTATATTTCAACAAAGAAAAATACAATATATGACATTACTGATCGAAAGGTGGGTCAAAATTTAAACATTACAAAATAATTATATTTTAATCTTAATATATAATTTTTAGAATTACTGTAGTAACTTTTGTTATAAAGCAAGTCTACATATCAAAAGTCAAATTGATAATAGTCCTTTATGGCTAAGAAAAGCAGAAGATGTTCCAGACTTCAATTTACTGCCTTCTTCAGAAGGGTAAGTAGTAATTTTAAGACATCTGACAGGTAAATTATCTTGATATGTTAACCTGGCACAGTGAAGGTAGCACACAACAAGCAAAATATAATAACAAATTCTAACATATTTATTGCTAATTTATAAAAAAAATTATTGCCAAAAAATGTGTTCTAGCATACAACCTCTAAAATGGTTGAATTGATTATAAATCATGTTAAGCATGATTAATTACTATTTATTACCAATATTTTGTATCAAGTAATTGTTGAAATAAAGCCAATAAACAAGCATGTGCTGGCTTAACACTCATGCTAAGAAACAACGCGCAAAACGACTTGAATATTTTCAATTTTTGTTAAACACAATAAGTTGATGCACAGGGGAATCTAAAATCCCCAAAAAATAACATAGGTACTTTATGGATGGCCCCATATCCTTAAATTAGGTTACATAAAATTTACAATTTGCATTGTATTATTGTATCATTTTTGTAATTTTTATTTTCACAAAATCTAGTTAACCATGTACAGGCCTCTCGCTAGGTCAGTTTTATAGTAAAAAGTTACTTTTTGGTTGGTGCGGTTACTATTGGTTACTTTTTGTTGAAAAAATATTTGTCCAATATATTCTCTTATTTCAATATATCCCTGTATTAAGCATATGAACATATATTCACTCTTATGCGAAAATAATATATTTATAAAATTTTGTGATAAATAAGGAATTATTAGCGATGCAACTGACATGAATCCGATTCGGCAACCCAGCTGGCGCGAACATAACTTTACACGCAAAGCGCAAACTGTCGGGTGTGTATCATATACACATGGGTGTGTATTAGGGTGGTGAGCGAGGGGTAAACCACTGATTTTTTTAAGTTAAAAATCGCTTACGAATTAACGGCTAAGGATAACAATAACAATGGTAGTCATGTACAACGCGTCGCTAAGCACTGATTAAGCACCGATTAAGCAGGTTTTCCTTATTGATAACGACTGATAAGGAAAAAAATCTAAACACAACGTCCACTAACATTGAACGTTGGTCTCTAAGATTTTAATGTGGTTTACCCCTCGGTGGTGAGAAATATGAATATTTTTAAAATTGAAAACGCCTGTATATGGCAAACTTGGGTATGATAAAAATAAATATTTTGGTAAAATAATTATTTAATTCCTTCCACCGCCCCAGAGCTATCCTAAATATAAAAATTATAAAATTCATAACTAACTTTTTCAAAATTGGGCAAATTGATTTTCAAAAAAAAACAAGCTAAATGGGGCCGCCGATCAATTTTAAAAATACCTACAAATATGTTTATATTAGACATTGACTGGGGGTCCGCTCATTTCGCTTGTTTTTTTTTTAATTAAAGTGCTTAACTTTGTAAGATTTACTTAGGCTCAAAATAACCAAATTGGCTAAAAAAAATTAAGTTTATATTACTAAGTACCGTTTTTTGCTCCAGCTCAAACATTATAATTTTTATGTTTGCCATGGCTCTGTGGCAGTAAAAGGAATTTAAAAATATATATATTTTTGTCAACAAAATGTTTACTTTGAACAGTAAGTTTTCCAAAATTAAGCACTTTGATTTTTAAAAAAAAAAGAAACCAAATCGGCGGATCCCCGCTTTATCTGAAATATGAAAATTTTTAAATTGACCGGGGGCCTCTATTTAGCTTATTTTTTATATTCATATTTTTCAAAAAAAGTCCTATATTCAGTGTGACCCATTTGTTTGCGACTCACCCCTGTAAAATCTTTATTTATTGTGCGATTTTAACCGGATTTGATTTAAAGTGTAGATCTTGATAAACTGTATATTTGGAGCAAAAACAAGATATTTTTACAAAATACAAGGCCTACTATGTCAGTTTTTAAGAGTAAATTTTTAAGAATTCATATTATTTTTTTAAACAAAATCTAAGCACGGCACTGTATTCACCACCCCTCAAAACGACCCTTTACTAAATTTTATTGAATAATTTTATTTGGCTTATTTTTTTTTAAAAATCAAATTACTTTATTTTGTAAATGTTAATTATGCTAAAAATAACATAACAACTGTTTTGCACCTCCGTCTGAATATTATAATTTTTATATTTAAGATGGATTTGGGGTGGTGGAAGGAAATTAAAAAAAAATTACAAAAAATATTTGTTTTTACCATATAAAAGTATTCAATTTTAAAAATATTCATATTTCGTACCACCCTATAGTGTGTATGCTCCTACCAGCTGTGTTGTCATTTTAAACTATTTGTCACCAAATGGGCAATTTGAGAACTGCCAATTGGACTAAAACTTTTAAATTGGTGATTGGCGAATATTTTTTTATTGAAATACCTTATTTATTTTGTTTTTAAATTTGCAGATTTTAACTGTTTCTAGTGACGTAATTTTTCTTTTTATATTTATATTTTTCAAAAAAAGTCCTATATTCAGTGTGACCCATTTGTTTGCGACTCACCCCTGTAAAATCTTTATTTATTGTGCGATTTTAACCGGATTTGTTTTAAAGTGTAGATCTTGATAAACTGTATTTTTGGAGCATAAACGCCATATTTGTACAAAATACAAGGCCTACTATGTCAGTTTTTAAGAGTAAATTTTTAAGAATTCATATTATTTTTTTAAACAAAATCTAAGCACGGCACTGTATTCACCACCCCTCAAAACGACCCTTTACTAAATTTTATTGAAAAATTTTAAGTAGAAAAATGCACAATACTGCCGTGCTTAATGAAAACGCCGTAACCAACAATTTTGCGATTTTTGGTTTACGGCATTTTCTACTAGAACAATTCATCCTACGTCTATCCCCGGTACTCAAAAAACCGTATCTATATCTATATCTATGTATATACATATATTGAGTACCGGGGATAGACGCAGGATGAATTGTTCTAGTAGAAAATGCCGTAAACCAAAAATCGCAAAATTGTTGGTTACGGCGTTTTCATTAAGCACGGCAGAATAATATCTACAAAAATTTATTCTGTCAAGTTATAAACTTTTGTATATAAACTTTTTGTATCCATGAAAAAAACATTGAAATAAAATTAAACTTATAGTAATAGTACCATATTACCATTAGTTTAATTTTATTTTACTGTTTTTTTCATGGATTACTTGACACAATGATATTTTTTAATTATTATTGTGCATTTTTCTACTAAATTGTTCAATAAAATTTAGTATAGGGTCGTTTTGAGGGGTGGCGAATCCAGTGCCGTGCTTAGATTTTGTTTAAAAAAATCGCTAATATGAATTCTTAAAAATTTACTCACAAAAACTGACATAGTAGGCCTTGTATTTTGTAAAAATATCTTTTTTTTGCTCCAAATATACAGTTTATCAAGATCTACACTTTAAATCAAATCCGGTTAAAATCGCACAATAAATAAAGATTTTACATGGGTGAGTCACAAACAAATGGGTCACACTGTTTATGAATCAGGTTTTATAAATTAATCGTTTTTCTTGAAGATTTAGTAGAACATAAGTTGCACATAAAGTTGCGCAAACCATGCTTTCTTCTACATTGCACAAAAGAGCAAATGAAAATAAATTGCAAAAAGACGCAGATAAAATGACTAGCACATTTTGCAAGAGGAAAACTTCAGTGGTCTCTGATGCCATTAAGAAGCAAAAAAAAAAATGTTTTAATTGATAAATAATATTTTATAGAATGCTTTTGTTTTTATTGTGTATTTTTTAATACAATATTTATTCAAGTACTAGATTCTGGTTACCCAGTAATTTTTGCTTTGTATTGTCATGTGACTTGATCACAGAGTGTCACAAATTTGTTAACCTCCTCCCCCATCATTATTTATGTACGATGCCTTATAAGATTAACAATAATTTGATCTGTGATAAGAGTTTTGTCATGTTACGTTTAAAATATTTTTATTAATACGAGCCCTAACCACAAAATGTTCGGACACTTTATAATTTATACAGAAATATTTTTCGTGAATACTATCTCAAAATTATTAGAGGTTATGAAAAATTCAGCTCATTTTAGCATATACCCCTCGAAGCGATTTTTATTTTAAAAAAGTTTACCTTTTATTTTTAGCTTTTAAAAAAAGGCTAACTTTTAAACTTTTTTTTGTATGAGTAAAGAAAGTTATAAATGGGCCCATTAAAAAGAGCATAAAATATTATACAAACCCTGAAAATTTGGTAAAAAATAAATAAGTTATAAAAAAGTATAAGTAATTTAAAAATGCTATTTTTAAAGAGTTTTTGCAATTTTCTTAGGAAACGGGAGATTTTGCAGATATATATATCGTTATAACTTTCTTATTATTTATACAATTTTTACCAAATTTTCAGGGTTTGTATAATATTTTATGTTCTTTTTAATGGGCCCATTTATAACTTTTTTTACTCATACAAAAAAAAGTTAAAAAGTTACCCTTTTTTTAAAAGCTAAAAATAAAAGGTAAACTTTTTAAAAATAAAAATCGCTTCGAGGGGTATATGCCAAAATAAGCTGAATTTTTCATAACTTCTAATAATTTTGATATAGTATTCACGAAAAATATTTCTGTATAAATTATGAAGTGTCCGAACATTTTGTGGTTAGGGCTCGTATAACAGTTTTGCCTTTGTTTTATTAGGTTACTATTGGATACTTTTTTAAACTAACGGTTTAGCATGTAAATCACAAAATATTAATAATATAATGCTGCAAAACTAAATACTTTTTTTGTTAAAGTTGGAGAAACTGTAAAAGATAATATAACTAATAGAACCACAACATCAAATGAAATAAGTAAAATAATAAGAAGTTTAAAATCAAATGCTTCGCCAGGATGGGATAAGATTAAACCAAATATTGTGAAAAAGTATCAAGAAATGTTGTCCCCAGTTTTAAGTTTTTTTATCAACAATGAATTGAGATTGGGAACATTTCCAGATGACCTTAAAATTGCAAAAGTCACATCCATATATAAGAAAGGAAGGAGAACTGACCCAGGAAACTACCGACCTGTCTCAGTTTTG